GTGATCAGGACAAAGGTTGATTTGGGTGGGATTATTGTTCAGATAAAAGGAGAATGGCAAGTGTTTTAACCAGGCAGGAAGAACTGGCCTGTTGGGTGGTTGATGATAAGGACATATGGGAGGATATAGAGATTGGCAGAAATTGAAGTGAATAGAATAGCACAATGAACAATGTGAGATGACTGGTGATCACAGACAGAGTTCAGACTCATCTGGCTGAGGATGGAGCTGGATGGGATGTGACCGAGGGGGTCACAATTAGAATCTGCAAAACTGTGCAACTGTGCCAGAATGGGAAAGGAGGAGTATGGTGTGTCAAGACTACTACAGCCAGAGCATTCATAGATGGATGAATCTGTTGTAATGGTATGTGGGAATGATCCTGGGGAACTTTAGGAAGAGCTACAGACAGGATAACAGGCATATAAAAGATGTCTCAACCCACAGAAGAGAAGGAGGGTGTGGAAAACATTTCAGAAGGGACCCTCCCTAGTTTTTCAGAGAGTAAGAAATAACTTCAGTCTTGCAAGTTTCTGTTAATATAACCTTACAATAAAGAACAGAGCTAGAACTCCTGGTTGTGCTTCTTGTAGGGTCTATCTCATAGGACTAACATCAATTCTGCAAGATTCATTTGGTTTCTGGAGGTGCTTGAAGAGTTTCCCAAAAATCCGAAGCCATTTCTGTTAAGACCTTTTTTGAGTCTCCCCTGTGCACCAATGGAGGGGAAAGATGTGTTGGATACATTCACCACCTTGAGTTACTTATAAAAACAATAAAGGCAGGATATAAATACATAAATAAAAATTACAGGGTTCTGGCAAAGATTACAGCTAGCAAACCAATTCAGAAGGAAAAAGATTGAACTGTGTTACGCATTCAGCTCCAAGCCTTAGATTGTCCTCTTCATCAGACAACAAAAACAAGGAGAAAGATACAAAACAACAACGTGATTATATGACACTTACAATATCTATATCTAGAACATGTCTGGCTCTGAATCTGAAGAGTAAGAAAATAGGAATTCTTAAGCCAGTATAATAATATGGCAGTGGATCTTATGGGAATAAGATGCAGAGGAAATATATGAAACAAAGGAACTTCATCACTTAATTCAAGCTATCATAAAAGTGGTTCCTTTTGTAAAAGACAAGATGACTTGACTAATTCTAGTATTCCAAACATTACATCCACATCAACTGTTATCTCTGTGACTGGTGTTCAGAAAAATCTGCTTTTTAGCACAAACACTCCTACAAAGGCCATCACAGGTTCAGCGGCATCAGCCATGCAAAGCATTTCAAATTGTTTATGGGCTGAGGAATACAATGTTTCTACAACACTGACTGCTCCTGTTACCTACAACCATTAGTTGTAAGTACTGAGAGTACTACAACCGCCTGGTCTACAACGACCAGCGGTACTATGTCACCTTCAGAAGTCAGGGAGAGGCACAGGTCATACTTCATTCTTGTTCAGGAAGAATTGGAATCCCAAAGAAAAGCTAGATCAAGACAAACAAGGCAATCCAGAACATCCACAGAGGGTGTAACATTAACCCATGTCTAGGAAGCTGGGAAAAAAATGATAGAAGTTGAGCTACATGAATTAGAGAACAAGAGAATGAAGAATAGAAAGGAAAAGAAAAACAAGACAAAGGAAACCAAATATAAAGGGAAGAACCAGAAACTAAGGATGATGATAAAGTTATGTGTGAACCTTAGAAGAACCGTATCATAGTTATAGAACTACATCCTCAACTGCTTCATCAATTTCTTAGTAGCCGCATCTTCTAATTTTTCAAGACAAATGAATAGCGCAAACAGCATTATAGACATAACTTCTGCTTACTCAAGAAGTGCAGCAAAAGAAAATTAGAGAGAAAAACAGACAAGAAAGAAGGGAAAAGATAAATCATGAACAAAATCAATAAGAGAAAGAGAAAAACAAAGATCCACTGGAATTTGTTTTTGGACTTAGGATAATGATGAAACAAGAACATGTGCTTAATTCCAGAAGAGGAAACGAATAAAAAAGAAGCGAAGAGTGACAGTCATTCAAGATATGACACAGGGTCATCTGGAGATTGTTATGACTCAGTATTAGGATGACCCGGTTACAGTTACTTGGAAAATCACAAATTATATGCCAGTAAACTAGAAAAAGAAGATACAACTTATTTTTAGAAATTTTATGAAAGATTATAGCTCACAATGAAAAACTGAAAGCATAATTGCATGATACAAATTAATGGCCCTTAAACTACAATTTGGCGAAGGTAACCCAGAGACAAAAAAAAAATGTGGTGATCGATCTCTGCAAGAAATGGAAAAAGGGGAGTGAATAGCTCTGAAAAGGCAAATATATGAAATGGAAGAATTCAAGATGTTATCAGACCTGAAGGCAGATAACCAGGGGCTAAAGGATGAATATTGGGCTTTGATCAGGGTAATCAGCAAACTTTCCAAATAAAATTGTTTACTCTTATCAGCAAATCAGGGGATTGCACATAATTAGTAACTCCAGTGGACCACAGAATAGAAGTCACTGGATTCCTGGGAAGATTTCTTGGAGACTGTTGTTTTCAGATATTCTGTCAAAAGCCCTTTTACCTGTATGAGCGTGTGTTTTAAACCAAGATCCTATTTTTATATGTTAAAAGCAGCTGCTGAGAAGACAAAATGACTGAGAAATCTTGTTTACGTCTGATAAACCTCAAATATTTATCAGTAAGCCTTAATTGTACATAAACACATTTTTTAAAAACAGCTTTCTGCTATCTATTACCTTATTTTGTTGCTTTGTCACTGTTTCTGGTTTTTGGGGGGGGGGGGTTTATTCCTATATGCTGCTTGGAATCACTATGAATTAGGTAGCCATATAAATTTCCTTAATAAATAAAATAAACGAACATAAAAGATTCATTACACAGTCAGATGTCCTAATTTTAAAAAGTGCTCCAAAAGAATATGAAGGCTGAAGAGTCAATAGCCACTGAGAGATAAAAGAGATTCAGAAGTCACATTCTCCACTCTATTCCCCGACTACCCACTGACCAATTTAATGGCAAATATAATCTTAGTGTGGTAGCTTTGGTATAAAAACCATGAAATTCAATGTCGCAGATCCATAGTATTACTTCATGGCAATACAGGTAATCTTTGATTTACGACCACAATTGAGCCCAAAATTTATGTTGCTAAGTGAGACAGTTATTAAGTGAATCACTGCAGGTGTTAAGTGAGTAAGATTGTTGTTAAGTGAATCTAACTTCACAATTGACTTTGCTTGTCAGAAGATTGCAAAAGGGGATTACATGGTCCCAGGACATTGGCAATTGTCACAAATGAGTCAGTTGCCAAGTGTCTAAATTTTGATCACATGACAATGGGGAATGCTGAAATGGTCATAAATGTAAAAAATGGCCATAATTTTTTTTTCAGCGCTGTTGTAACTTTGAAGTCACTAAATGAACTGTTGTAAATTAAATATTACCTATATCAAAAAGCTTTGCATTGATGATTTAGATTTTAACAGCAGTTTTAACTACATTTCCTGTTAACCTAATAGGGATTTGTGTCTTGGAACAAGTTTCTGTACTATTATTATGCTAAAACTACGCTGGAAAAAAGGATTAGTCTATGATTGTTACAGTTCATTGTGTCAGATGTGGACATATTGATTTAATGGTTTCAGATGAATGGTGTGAAAAGCAGGGAGGATGAGTGAAATTAAAATAGAGGTTAGTCCTGTACTAAAAGATTGGATTTGATAATTCAAATGACCTTGTCCAAATCTATAAATTTATTATCTGTCCACTTGTACTTCCTTCTTTGTGAAATTACTCTTTCTCTACTTGTAACTCAATATTTCTCAATAAGCGAAACCTTATTCTTGCCAGTCAAAGTCAAAGCTGTAAAGCGTTAAAACAGGCACACGGTGCTGTTCCTATGTGAGAAAGTTTGTGAGAAGCAATAATTCACATTCACTTTTAATATACACACACAGGCGATTGCAATTCTTGTTGCAAGAGCCCCGCACATCAAAAGGGAGTACGAATTATGGTATCTTCACAAACTTTCTCACAAGAGACAGTATTCCTGGAACCACTTCGCAGTTTCCTCTTTCGTCCCCACCCTTTTTGGCTAAGGTTCCTCGCTTTCTTTTCTTTTCTATTTTTTTAATTTATATTAAATGACGGTTTGATTTAAAAGCCCTCCAAGAGGGGAGGGACTTAAGTTAGGAACACAGGCCAGTTTCACCCACCCAACCAGTCATTCTCGCCCATTTCGGATTCCCTCCCTTTTCGGCTCAAAAGCCAGAAACTGACACTTGAAATGGAATTCTTGTTTTACCCGAAATGTATACCTGAGGCTGTTGCCCAACCGTTGTCTGTGTCTGTGTGTGAGTGTGTGTGAATATACAAGAACTGCTCCACTCTTTGCATCCAAGTTTCCAGCTTCTGGATTCAAAAACAGGATCCGGGTTTACGGTTAAAGGTTTGGGGGAAAAAACGAGAAGCCCTTTTTGTAAAAGAAAGGTGGAGTGAGGGGGGGGGGGTTTTACTCCCCGCGCACGTGTTGCCCAAGCGCCCCCCCCCCCCCCCCCTTTTCTTCTTCTTCTTCTTTTTCTGCCGGCTTGGGAACAAAGTGGCTCTTTGCAACCAGGCCAGTTGCCGGCTTCGTGCGTGCGTGTTCCTCGGTGTTTTTTTTTTCCCCCTTTTCCCAAGCCGCGAGAACTGTATGCAAATAGGGAGCCAGCTCGGCCCTTCCTCTCCGCCCGCCCTGCTCGGGATTGGGGTGTGTGTGTGTGTGGAGGCACAAGCGAGGCGAGGCCTGAGGGAAAGGAGGTCGGGGGTCGGCCTGGAATGCCTCTCTGTGGACCGGAGTTCCTCTCACACAGCCCCAACCTCCCCCCCTCACTCTCTCTCACTCACACACACACACACACACACAGAGAGAGAGAGAGAGAGAAAAAAGGTGGGAAGCGCTCCGCCTCCCCCCACCCCTTTTGCAGGCTGCAAGGCTCCTCCCCCCGGATCGTGCAGCTGTTGGCCGAGGGCTTTTGCAGGAAGCGGCATTTAAAACAGGCTGCCAGGAACATGTGAACCGCGCAGTCTTCGGAAGGGCTCGGAGGAGGCGGAGGCGAGAGGAGAGAGAGAGAGAGAGAGAAAGAGAGGGAGCTGGCTGGGAATTGGTGCGAGCGCCGGCCTCCCTCCACCCCCACGGCCGGAATGGGAGCTTGGTCACGTACGGGCAGGAACGGCTGCTCCAGCTCGCCGAGCGCCACCGTCCCTTAGCAGACTGCGCTGAACGCACGGACGGTGCCCAAGGAAGGAAGGAAGGGAGCGAGCGAGCCGCTGCTCCAGCCCGGAGACCCGGAGATTCGACTTTCGCCGCCTTTTTAGCTGCTGGTGCCGGCCGCCGAGCAGCGGGAAGCGAGGTGCGTCCAAGCCGCGGACTCGGGGGTGGGGTGGGGGAAAACTTCTTCCTTCCCTTCCTTCCTTCCTTCCTTCCATCCTTCCTTTCTTTCTTTCTCCCCTTCCTCAGCAAAGGCGTCCTTACTTTATTTTTTTTCTGGGGGGGGGAGGGCAGGGCCCCGGGTAGAACGGAGCCGAGGGATTTACTCGCAGGAGTATAGTTATTTTTTTTTTTTAAATGCTTGGCGGCTTTTGGAGGTTAGGTTGAGTTGAGAAATGCCCTCTCGTTATTGCGAACGAGCGTCGCGGATCGACTTCTTGAAGACAGGATCGGGTCGTGAAGGGAACAAAAAGGGGTCCGGGTGGGGGGGGTGGGGGTTGGGGAGGGGGTTGGGTTGGGTTGGAGCGCTGAAGACGAGAAAGAAAGCAGAGGCGAAGGTGGGCGCGGGCGTTTTGGTGTTTTGTTTTGTTTTGTTTTGTTTCCATTTTTTTCCAGCCTGCTTTTGGCTCCTTCTCGAGTCCTGCGGTTCGGGTCTTCCCGGGCAGCCGTTTCGGGCTCGGTCCACGGGCTGGATCCCAAACCCCTCAGAAGCCTCGCTTTAAGCTTGGCCAGGATTTGTTTCGAAGTTAGGGTTGCATTGCCCAGGCAGGAAGCAACCGGGACAAAAGAGAGAGAAGGAGAGAAAAGTTTTAAGGCGCTTGTCTGAAAGCGGGACGGCTTCCGTCCCACTCTCAAGGGGCGGGGGGGGGATCCCATAGAAGTGAATGAGATTTCAGCTCCTTCCAGAACCAGGAGTCTCGGAATCCCCCTTCGATTGTTTTGGCAGGAACGCAACAATGGTATGTTAATTAATGCAGGGCGAATAATCCGGACCTTTCGGCGCAGGGACAAATCTGGATTAGAGAATCCCACAATTCAAAACAACGTTTAGCAAAAGAATGCAAGCACCGCCGTTTCGACGCTTTGGATCTATGTTAGGCGAGAGGAGCAGCCTCTTCGCTCTTGAATAATTGATCTTCTTGGAATGAGATCCCCTCGTAGACAAAATAACGGGGAGGGGGGCGTCTTTTAATGATGGTGCATAATCCTGGAATCGTAAAACTTCAGGAAGTGTAATGAATCAAGCGCTGCGTGTCAGGAGCTGGTGAACAGGAAAGGGACTCATCCATCTGAGTAATCTTTGGGTGCTGCATAAACTTGCTAGACACCTGAAGGTTTGCACGGAGAGTAAATTGGTTGGCAGCCTCTCCAAAACTACTTCGTCTAGGGATAGATGACTCTACATACTAATTCAGGGTGTATATGTATGTGTGTATCCATTTTTCCTTATGGGAAATGCTCTGATACAAGCAAAGTGTATAATGATTTGAGTTTTTTTATGATGGCATAAAGCAGGTGTAACCTCGTATTAATGATAAGATGGAAAGGTTCATTTTAGGGCATTTATAAAAATCTTGGTGAAAAATAAAGCTGTAGTCCCAGAAATGGATGGGTTGTTTTGTTTGCAGAAGCAAAACTTTAAAGCATTCATTGGATAAAAATAAAAACAGCCCTGTAAACAAGGTTGCAAAGGTTTCTAGTCCATAAGATGCATGAATAAAATGTCTGTTTGGCCTGGCAGTAGAATGGGATGGCCAGTTTAGTCTTTTGTACGTTAGCCTGACTGGTGCAGCTCTGTGTCTTAAGGGAGGCATCTTTTCTGTACTGGCACAGAGGGATAGGGAACCTTCACTGGCTTGCTGGATTCAGTATTCATATCATACCCAAATCTGCCTTTGCAATTTCTCAGGATTTCTTCCCTAGCAAAAGTGGCTCCTCTTTTTCTATCTTACAAGGAGCCCAAGAATTTCTTTTGAATTTTAGGGGAGTGTGTTGTTTCCTTTGTTTGTGGAGAGGATTGATGATAATACAGTACAGCTAGCAGTGGTAACATTTTTTGTGGTGTAATTCTCTATCCTTCTGAAACCTGCCTGGCTGCCCACATGTCCCCAGTCTGAACATCCCAGCAGGAAGAATTCCTTGGGGATTTAATTGACACTTGTAAAATCTGAGACAAGAGCTGTTGGCTGCTGGAAAGATGACAGGCAAGGCAGCACTCTAGGCCACCTTGTAATTAAGGAAGTGGAAGAATACTCCACCCATGAGAGTTTAACTGAAATTCTGTTCTCCTATGAAAGCAAATGTTCATGCAAATTTGCTTTTGTAAAATTGAGAAAGGCCTGGTGGGAAAAATGCAGGAGAATGTTTCTTAACATTTAGTATGTATTCTTGTATCCAGTTTCTTCTTGCTCCTAGCTACAGTCTTTGTGCTGCTTATTTAGAAAGCCAGAGAAGCAATTCAAAAGAGCTTCTACCCCCCCCCCTCTCTTTTAAGCATTTTAACTCCCTCCCCAGGCTCTTGTCAGAAGAGAACATTTCCAAACTTTAATTTTTGCATATGTGTGTTTGTGTGCAGCTGCTGTTTTTGCATTTTCTTTCTGCGACTGCAGTATTTGGCTCCGCCTGCGGGTGGCAGCATGTTTATTTGCTGTGTCATTTAGCCAGAAACAGCCAGGGTTTGTGGAATGTGATTCAGACAGAATGACTGGCAGTATGTGGGAATACGAAACTGTCCCGGAAGCATGGAGGGAGGAACAATTGGCAGTTCTGAAGCCACTGTGCACAAGGTCTCTTTCAAAAGAGCCTTTTGAAAAGAGTTTCACATTCCCACATGCTGCTAGTCATTAATTCTGAATGTGGCAACTTGCAAGGTCATCCGTGGAAGGAAAATGAATCTTTTCCTGTTGTTGGGATAACCAACTGGTGCAGGCATGTTTGTCCTTTATCTTCATTAATCAGTGAAAGATCAGGAGAAGGAAGGAAAACAGTGAACATGTTAAGAATCCAGGACAATCTGTCCTGGGTAAGTAAATAGGGAAATTGTGGGTGGGTGGGCGGGGAGGTAGTTTTAATGCCTTTTCCAGAACTGGACTATTTATGGATTCAGAGAAACTTGAATATGTTTATTGGGCTTAATTGGGTCCTAGGCTAGGTCTTTGGTTTTTAATTGGTTTCAGGCTTTGTGTCCAGCCTCAAGAATTGGGGAGAAATTAACTACCTTTTTATATTGGGAACCCTGTAGCATCTTTTCTAACTGTCATCTCTTGATGAAATAGTCAATAAAATGCATTATAAAAAGTGTTGCCGGAGTCCTGGTTCTTTGACACCATAGACATGATGCAACTTCTCCTTCTATAATAACAGTTTTATTTTGTGTATCTGTAGGTCTTTAGGACTTGGAAAGTAACTCTGAAAAGGGTGGGCCCAGGAGGCACACAACCCCCCAATGGAAACTGAAATGGAGTCTCCATGTGAAGTCCAGCCAGCTGCCTGTCCGGAAACAAAGCCCCCTGATCCTCCAGAGGCGTTTCCTCCACCTGCAAGTGTTCCTGAAAAGATACCACCAATCAAGCCATGCTTTAAGAAGAAGCAACAGATACAGAAAAGGCTGGATTCAGAAGCATTGAGGGCTCTGCGGCCGATCTTCACCAGCTTGCTTGGCACGGGCACCTTGGATGGAATTTTCGTGCCCAGGGGACAAAATAGTAGCCATAGTAACTTGTGTGAATCTGTTGCAAAAAAGAAATTGGGGATTGCAGCTCCATGCCCACAACCTGATAGCAATGTTTTAGTGCCAGGAGCTCCAGCAGTTCAGGGACAACTATCTGATGGACATCTTGAAGAGGAGGTCCAGCCACAGGAGCAGAGCTTCCCCTCCATTACCTCTCCTGCTAATGAGCCATTCCAAGATAGCTGCTTGCATGCTGCCTCTAATGCTGCTGCTCTCCTTGCATACCCTGGCAAGATACTTGAAGGTTACCCATCTGGAATATCCCCAAGTAACAACCAGTGCCTGCTCCAGTGTAATGGGAATCCAGGTGATAAGTTTGGAGCTGGTCTTTTCCAGGACAAAAGTGAAGATGCTTCCCTTGATCTGGTGTTTGAACTTTTGAATCAGTTGCAGTATCACACCCACCAGAAGGATGGGATTGAGATCTGTGTGCACTTTCTTCAAGGCATGTGCGTGTATGGCAGTGATTGCCCCAAGCATCATACTGTCCTGCCATATCACTGGCAAGCCAGGAGAACCGCTACACAGGCGTGGCAAAGTGTGACTACCGACTCCCAGGAGCATCTGGAGAGACTCTACTGCAATCCAGACAACGACAAGGTCAAAATGAGATACCGGTAGGTCTTTAATACAATTGGTGCTGATGGAACAAAAATTAGGATTTAGAAATCTTACTAGAGTTGCAGAATTTGTGCAGTAGAACATAACAGTTCATGTCTGATTAGGGCAGATGATGTACATGCTGGAGAACAGGTTCAAATGTAACGGCTTCCTACCTTCCCTCTTCCCCTCACCTTCTAGAAAACAATTTTGTGTAGAAAAGAACTTTTTCTGAAGACTTTCTAAATAATTCAGACTTGTTTCTAGGTTCATTAATTGGATGGTTGTTTGTCTAATGTCAGTAATAGTGAAATAATAATTCAAGAGATATGCTTTAAAACCAAAGTAAAAGTCAAACAAGTAATTGAAGAAAACGGATCATGTTGGTGGAAGTAACTATTTGAGTTGGTTGCAGATGATTAATTCTGGTATGAAAACAAAAAGTGGTGCTGAAGAGTGGAAACAGTGTTAAAAAGTTTTGATTGACTGCTTTGTTAAATCAATATCTCTCCTTTCCTGCCAGTTCCCCTATCTCTGAAATAACTTGGGTTGAGAGATAGTAGTTATCCAGTGAGCATCTGCATTTTAGTCTGGCTCACTTCTAGTCTATCACTATACTACCATGCACATTTCTGGGCAGATCACAGACCTTAATTAGATCAACTAGATTCCCATAGTCAACAAACAGATGCTTGTCTCCTGTTTTTCTTCTTTTCTGATTAGATTTAAAGAGCATGCACTAACTGTTCTTAAATGGATTTTTAATGTCATATTACTGATGGCCACTGCCATATATTTCTAGAGGCACATGGAATTTTCAACAAATGAATTAAGTTTTCTTATTTGTCTTTTATTAGGCTATAATTGATATTGCTTTCTCAATGTGAGATGGGAACTTCCTTTATACATTTTTTTTATTTTCTACATTAATAACTGCGTTCACTTTTATCATATGTAAAAGCCCCAAAGTTGTTACCTTTCCTTACAGAGCAGTGGCTGAATTGACCATGTTGATTGCCTTTTTCTACATTTTTTTCCAAATGTCCTTTCTAAGTTGCAGCAAGATACATGCACTATTCCAAATGTGGTTGGATTTATACAAAGGCAAAAGTTGAAATAGCTGTGCACACCATTTTACACACTGCTAAAATATTGAGATTCCAAAAATGTGCTTTATCACCATGAGTAAGAAACAACATAGAGTTTGACTTCCAACGGTGATAAATTGGTAAGAAATAGTAAAGTTAAATGAAATAATAATAGCTGTTGCAGGCAGCTGTTGATTCCTAAAGATTAATAAAATAACAGAGTTGGAAGGGACCTTGGAGGTCTTCTAGTCCAACCCTCTGCTCAGGCATGAAACACTATACCATTTCAGACAAATGGCTATCCAATCTCTTCTTAAAAACTTACAACTTCTGGATGGATGGATGGATGGATGGATGGATGGATTGATCAATCGATCGATTGATTGCTCTCACTGTTAGGAAATTTCTCCTTAGTTCTAGGTTGCTTCTCTCCTTGATTAGTTTCCATCTATTGCTTCTTGTCCTGCCTTCAAGTGCGTTGGAGAATAGCTTCCGTCTTCTTTGTGGCAACACCTGAGATATTGGAACAGTGCTCTCATGTCACCCTTAGTCTTTCTTTTCATTAAACTAGACATACCCAATTCCATCAACCATTCTTTATATCAGGGGTGCCAAACTGGCAGCCCACGGGCCAGATGCATCACGCGCAGGCCACGGCCATCCCTGTTCTGCAAAGGCAAAAAAAATGTGATACATCACATGATGCGATCAGGTTTGACACCCATGCTTTATATGTTTTAGCCTCCCTTTAATGGAGGCTAAAACATTCATTAAAGGGAGGATCCCTTTAATGGAGGATCTCAGAGTGTCTAATGCACACAGAGCTCTCTGGGAACTCTTTAGATTGGGTTACACCCAGGCTTGGCTAAGTACCAAAGGACTTTAGGCTTGAATTGTCTGTGATGCAAGCAGAGCAATCTGTGCTAAGAACAAAGGAGTGTATGAAGTAACATGTAGACTAACAGACCTTTGGGAGAGGAACATACAGTCTGTTGTCTATATTTGCCAGTACAATATTGGATTACATTTTAGGCAACAGGATAGAGATACAGAGTGGAAGAACTTGTATACCAGTCCGTACTAATTTCTTTAAAGCAGAGGTTCATACATAATCTGAATTCCCAAGGTTACATGTGACTCTAAAAGCACACCCAGAAGTCTTTGAGAGAGGCCCCTGAAATCACATCCGAAAGTGGCCACTGAACCAAATTGTTCATGTGATTGGATTGCATGTCTATGCATTCATATTTTTAATTGTGTTAAATATGATAACATGTTTATATAAAGAATGTTAATATCATTTTACTTCATTACTTCTGAGTTTATCCAGCTGTTTGTCATGCTCCTTAAGTGTTGTTCTTGGAAAGCTGTCTTGGCAAGTTATTGTTGATCAAAACAATTCACAGGATTATGGAGGGTCTTTAATAGGATCCCCATTGGAACTGGTTAACAAATACTTAAAAAGCCACACACACAAAGTTATTGGAAACCAGAGAGTAACTCACAAATGGGTTGCTAGTCTGTCTGGCCATTGTACTACAGGGGCTTGCTCATTCAATGTCTTTCTTCCTTGCTAAGCTGCTTTATTGACTCAGCTGCTTGTGGGAGAGTATCAGCATTGCCCTTGTTCATATTTTGCACAGCTGAAAAGAACATGGGATGCCTCTTTCTAGATCAGTCCTTCTCAATCTTGGCAACTTTAGGATGCATGAATTTCAACTCTCCATGTTGGCTGGGGAATTCTGGAGGTTGAAGTACGCAAATCTTAAAAGTTGCTAAGGTGGAGAAACACTCTTCTAATTTCCCTGCAAAGGATGTCAAAAGAAACCTCTTGAAAGTCAACAAGTATTTTGAGCTCCCTCTGCAAATCTCTCTTGTCGCTGCTGATTCACTAACATCATGGCATATTACATCCATATTGATTGTAGAATTTATTTGAGTACTTCTTTAGATTCAGACTTGAATCTAGAGAGAAATGTCAAAACTGGTTGGCTTTAATCTGTGTGCCTGTGGTGCTTTGGGGGAACTGTGCCAGAGAAATTAGCTTGCACCTGACCTTGTTATTAAACAATCAACAATAGCAAAAACGGGGCTGGGAGAAATGATTTTGCATAGCTCTAACCCACAGCTATTTGCCATACTTTGAAACAGCTGCACTGCATGACCCACAAGTTCATGCCCTCATCTCTCATCCTGGGACATTCCACTTGGATGGAACAAAGCCTTAGTTGCACCCACAAAATTACTGCTGCTCCAAGCAATTGCTGGGGCAGCTGGGCTGGTTTTGCAGGACCCACTTGACATTCCAGTCTAGGTCAGCACAGAAGTAGCCTAGGCTTATGCAAATGCGGAAGGAAGAGTAATCAGAGTGATTTAACTGACGCAGTGAAAGTGTTGGGAGTAGGAGGGACAAGGGTGGCTCTCAAAGAGTAGGAGCAGTTGGCTGGTTGCACAGTTGCCTTGGGGAAGTTGTGGAATTTCTGTTTGTGACATTAAAGCAGAAGCTGAATGAACCTCTCTATTGAGGATGGCTAGGATCTGAGGAATGTCTAGTGTGCATGTTGTAGAGAATGAGCCCAAATCTCTAGTCTCAGGACTCCAAACTTTAGAGGGATAATTCAAATCAATAATTCAAATACTATTCTTGTTAATTCTTGGAGATGTGATGCTTTCCTTTTGAAATCTATAAAGGGAAGATAAATTGATTTAAAACTTGTATGTTATTTCAGCAGCAATCAAGGTTACTTTACTCTTGTCTACATCAGAATGTTACTTTAAATCATTAAACGATAACAAATCTAGTTTTGGTTTGGTCTCCCAAATCATTCACTTTATTCTTATATGTGTGTAGGAAATGGATGCATTGCACCTACTATAAGTTGCAATTTTCAGATGTAGAAAGTATGTTCATATAAGGAAGAGTATGAAATGTAGTTGGGAAAAGCCAAATTGTGGCTTCTCGGCACATGTGCATACAGGGCAAATTATTGATGAAAAGAGGAAAAAGTGAAAATATAGAAGAAACCATGGCATTAAATAGAGTTGTTTTCCACAGAGGAAAATAGTAAAGTACCTTTTACAATGTGGTTTGGATAAATTTAAAAGTCTTCAGGACACTTTAAGATTTTACTTAATCTCTCTGTATTCGTACAACTCCATAAAATTTAACTCTTATTTTTATAATGCAGAATTTCTGGCTGGTTATAGTGTTCAAAACTACTTTGTTGGAATTATTTGTATTGTTTTCCATTCACTCCTGGTACAAATACAATTAAAGTACTGTATTAAAAATAACTTCAAATAAACAACAAGGTTGCCATAAAAAGTATACAAGCCCAAAATTTCTGTTGCTAAGCCAGACAGTTAAGTGAGCACTTCATCTTATGACCTTTTTGCCACTGTTGTTAAGTGAATCACAGCAGTTATTAAGTGAATTGTGTGGTGGTTATGTGAATCATGCTTCCCCCATTGATTTTGTTTGTCACAAGCCAGTTGGGAAGGTTAAAAATGGTAATCACATGACACTGGTCAGTGCAATAAATGCCAGTTGCCAAGTGCCCAAATTTTGATCACATGATCATGGGATGTTGTGACGGTTGTAAGTGTGAAAACTGATAAGTCACTTTTTTTCAGGGCTGTTGTAACTTCAAATGGTCACTAAACGAATGGTTGTAAGTCAAAGACTACATATGTTGATTATTTTCCTGGGCATTGAAAGAATGTGAAAACTTATTTTTATACTCAAGCCATTGAAGCATTTGAGTTTTGAAGACTGCTGCTAGGATAATTATTAGTGATGGAAGCTAATGAATTTTTAAAGCTTGCACCCTTCTTTTTCCTAAATGTGTTCAGATGGTTTATTGATTAATGCAACTGAATTGTTGTTTGCTTTTTTGCTATTAAGCTGCTTTGATCCAAAAGGGCTACAC